ACACATACTGGTAAAAAATGTATAGCCTGAATGCACTGTAAGTCGCTTTGGATAAAAGCGTCTGCTAAATGCATAAATTATTATTAATTATTTTGATAGCTCCGCCCCACACATACGTACGCAACCCAGACAACGATTAGTTGCCAATGTTACACCGTGTCTACACCGGACGCGAGTGGCGTGGCATGACAAAATACTATGGAACTCATCATAATCAGTGATGCTGTCTACACCATAGATATATATATATACATATCTATGGTCTACACTGAATGCGGCGTGGCACGACACGACAAATCCCCGACAGAAAACTGCTGCTGTGTTCTATTTATGATGTATTGACACAAATTTCAAATGATTTTCAATGGTCGCTTTGTCGCGTCCAGTGTACTAGACAGACTTTAGCTGTTGCGGCGCAGACACGGTGTTACACGCCTTTTGAGAAGAAACAAAGCAACCTCGGCATCCGATCGCAGGCCTTCCGCTCCTTGAGTTCTCTCCAGCGCTGGAAAGCTGATCCGATATTTACACGGGTCCTACTTCTTGCCTTAAGCCTTCTTTTGTTCGCAGACATTTTCCTCTTTTGTTTTTTATCCGGCATCTCTATCTTTCTGTCGCTCGGCTCGGCTAATGTCCATCCTGTGCACTGAACGCTCCCTCCGCCACATCATGTGTAGACACGCCCCTTACTGCTGATTGGCTACAAGTTTGTTTTGCTATTCGGCCCAAATCTGTTTTAAAACGTGTTTGAAAAATCGCTTACCCCACCTTTAATAATAAAACTAAAATAAAAAATACTAATAAAATGAAGACAACGAAGTCAGAAGGAAAAGAAGCATTAGATTTTTTAACAATTTATATATATATAAATACATTTTTAATATTATTAAAATTAACACTTCACAATAAGGCTGCACTAGTTAAAGGGGTCATGAACTGCCTTTTTTATTGTTTTGTACTGTTCTCTGTGGTCCACTTATAATGTTATCAAGATTTTTAAATCAAAAAACATCAGAATTCAGAAGTAACAGGCTATTTTCTGTCTTGTTTTGACCCCCTCTCACGGGAACGCTCTGTTTGAATAGGCGTGGTGGATTGTAAACGCCCACTGCTATAATTGGCTAACAGCGGTGTGTGTTTGACAGCCTACGTCCTTCATAGACACTGCTGTGATTTAGGTTAAAAACGCATAAATACTCAGTACATATCAAACGATCTGTAATAACAGACAAAGCAATAGTGACCACGTAATAAAAACAGTTACTCGCACCTGTGTGGTGCGACATTACTGTCGGATCCAACATATTCCGCACAGCATCGTCTTTTAGATTCAATCTTTCTGGAAATCCAAATCTTTCTGGAAATTGTCTTGTTTGTAAACGAATCCGCAGTAAAATTAAGTGAAAAAAGGACCAAGTTCTTACTGACGTGGTCTGGATCTTCATTAAAAATACTCTTGTTTTTGGGGCATCTTTGTTGTAAGTGGGCGAATCAGTGGGCGGGGCTAAACAGGCAGTGATGTAGAATCAGTGGGAGGGGCTAAACAGGCAGTGATGTAGAATCAGTGGGAGGGGCTAAACAGGCAGTGATGTAGAAGCAGGCGTTGATCTTCTGCGGAGGCGGGGTTTACTCACTCTATTACGCTATAAAGTGTCACATTCCACAAGCTGTCATTTAGGCAGATCAGCTTAGAAGCTGTTTTTGGACTAACGAGAAAGTTTTGAGTTCTGAAATTGACAGGATGTTTTCACAGTACAATGACCTCTTATATGTCACAAGATCAATGGAATTTTGATTTCTCAGTTCATGACGTCTTTAATATTAGTTAATGCATTAACTGAAATTAATTAACAATGACCTATACATGTGTTACAGTATTTTTTAATCCTTGTTAAATTTAGTTAAAAAACAAACAATCAAACAAACAAACATAAATATTCATTGTTAGTTGAGTTCTGAAACTGACAGGATGTTTTCACAGTACAATGACCTCTTATATGTCACAAGATCAATGGAATTTTTATTTCTCAGTTCATGACGTCTTTAATATTAGTTAATGCATTAACTGAAATTAATTAACAATGACCAATACATGTGTTACAGTATTTTTTAATCCTTGTTAAATTTAGTTAAAAAACAAACAATCAAACAAACAAACATAAATATTCATTGTTAGTTGTTAGATGTAAGATCAGGTACATTAAATTATGCTACCAGATACAACCTTGATTTATTTTAATAATGGATTACTAAATGATGAAATTAACATTAACAAGACTAATAAGCGTTTTTGTTGTTGTTGTTGTTTTTTAGTTCATGGTAACTAATGTAGTTCACCCATGTTAACAAATGGAAGCTTGTTGTAAAGCATTGCCAAATATTAAATATGAATACATTTATTGTTATGGTTAATATTATTATTATTTTAAGTTTGATTTTAAATATTTATATGCATTAAATAACAATTATTTTTTAAAAACCCTTCATATTATTTAAACTTTATCTTCTCCTCTATAATGGCCAAAAATGTTTGGTATTATGCACATGTGAAACTAATTGAATAATGAATCTAGACTGCATTAATTTCACAAACTGTACCATAAACCTTCAGAGCTTCAGAAACTTTTGTGATGTGTTTTTGAGACGAATGGGAAAAACACTTCCAGAACCCAGATTGCCGAAAAAGCAGTCATCACCGTTGTCTTAATAAAGATTGTTTCGATAAAACCTCTACGCTACAGAAGAAATACATGTCTACATCTGAAGTGTGTCTACTTTACAAACAACACTTCTGATACCATAAAATGCTGTTTGAGGGTAGGGCTGGGCGGTATATCGAGTTTGTACGATATATCGGTATATTTTTTATAAGCGATATGGTATGAAGCAATACTATTTATATCGATATACAGTAGTTTGATACGAGCACATCTGAATAACAGCAGAGGACGCAGACTGAACTACTGCAGGGAAACGGCATAATTCAGTTTGTTCTAAACATGAGACATGCTTATATTAAGGGCTTTAAAATAACTGATAAAATATAGTAACACGTCTAGTTTAAAGCGGCTCGCACCATCAGATGCTCTGACAGACATGTGCTGCTGACAGAGACACTACTTGTGCTGTTTAATATGTTTGAGATGTGCTCTTTTCCTCAGTGCATAACTTACATTTCACAGGTATATTCTCCATCTGTAAATGCTAGAAAGTCATAGAAATATTTCCATCTTGCTGTCAGGAGCGCATGAGCCTTCTGCGTGTGATTCTCCACTAAACTTCACTAAACGCAGGCGCACCAAACAGACGGACCGCAATGGAATAGGAGCTCAATAATTCTGACTAAAATATACATTTTGCTAAAATATTTGTAGTTGGACAATAAATGTGCCGTGTGCAGAATTTGAAACCTACAAGTAAGTCCATTTTATGACAGCAGTAACTGTAAAGTGAATATTGTAATGGGCTAATCAAAATATAATGCAATTAATCTGTGCTTTTGTTTTTATTTCTTTTCATTTGTAGTTCTGCTCTTTAGTTCTTCTGCTTTAAAAAGCACAGTTTTTGTTTTTAGATTGTAATGTTACAATGTAATGTGATTTTAGCCCTTTTTTTTTGCACACAATAGCCCATAGCCTATATGGTTACTTTCACTATATATGTTTTCATTGTCTTTAATATAAACATTATTTAATTGGACAAAATTGGGCAGTATTAAATAAATAAATATTTTTAATGCAAATAGAAAAATGTAGAAAATACCAAAATATCATCGCATTTCAGCCAAAAAATACCAAGATGCGATTTTTTTGGCCATATCGCCCAGCCCTATTTCAGGGTAAAGATAACTAAACTCTAAGCAAAAACAACAATCTGTATGAATAACTGCAACAATACAGCAAAACGCCTTTGATTCTACATAACTTATGCTGATGTAAACAGACAGGTGTCGCTGTGACTCACAGCTGGGCGTTTGCGTGCTGTACGTCGACGCTTACGGACGCTGCAGCGCCGCATGGATCTGCGTCTCTGCGGACCAGAGTTAAAGAGCACTGAGATCATCCCAAAGGCCCTCAACCCCTGATCGTGCTCTTCCACCACACGTCCCCATCAAACCCTTCACACCATGAGAACTTGACCTTATGACTATATACTGAGCCGACCTTTGCAGTGACAGACCGCAGTTTCATTTTGTCAAAGGTCATAGGGATTGTTCAATTATAGTGTGACGCTGATGCAAAATGAAAGCGTCGTTGCACAACATACCCTCAGAGAAGCTCTAATGCTTTTTGTACCCGTTTTTATGTTGGCATAAACACAGCATGACTATTGCAGAATTTCTGCTCCATTGGCACGAGTACAGATCAATGCATTTTTCACTGCTGCAGTTGCATTAACAGTACGACACAGTTGCATAAATATGCATTATGAAACGTTTATGTTGCAATATATATCCATTACTTTTAATGGGAAAGTGTGCACGAAAATGCACAACTGCAGACATACCTCATTGAGTCGCTCCACGCTGGCAGTCCCAGAAAACTCCCCACCCGATTCTTGATAGTCACCTAAAAACATAAAATTTAAATCTAACATTAATGCGCTTAATGCAGGGGAAAAAAATATTCACATATGCACCATGATTCTTTCTCAAACTAATATGCATTGATGGAAAAGAAAAAAATAACAATAAAAAGGACTAAAAATAATTTTATTTATATTAATAAAAACGGAACTATTAATAAAAATAATAATGTATTAAGATTATGTATTAAGGTTATATATTAATTATAATAATTAAATTTTTTATTAAGTATAATACATATATATATATTTTTTTTTTGTATGAACAATTTTATACTAATATTAATAATAAATTAGTACTATATATAGTATTAAATTAGCATTATAGTCAAATATAAGCATTAAATTATAAGCATTAAATTAAGTTAAATATAAGCATTCAGTTATTAAATTAAGCAAATTACTATTAATAATATTAATATTAAAAATTATATTTTTATATATCAAATATATTTATAAATGGTTAAATAATATGATTATTTTAGAAATTTTTATTATTACTGAAAGAAACCTATTGTTAGACTTTCATTTTCAACCCATCGAACATGGGTTTCATAAGTGTAAAAACCTCCATGGCCTGGGAGTCCGTCTCGCAAACAGCATGGAATTCAGTGTAATCAGTGTTCCATAATCTCATACTGTTTGACACAGACCCTAAGAGTCAATGGGGCTCCTTTACCGCTAATCCTATTAAAGATGTGAAAATCTCTGAATTTGGAGGATGAATGGAAAAAAAACTCCTTCCAGCGGGCTCGGCTTATGCATTACAAAACCAATGCTTTGCATCACCTGCCTTGGGGGCCCAAAATACCCCCCTACAATCTGAGAGCGTGTCGGATGGGTGAAGACAATCCCTGCATACCCTGGGCTTCCTCTGCCTCCGCTGTCTCGATTTTATCCATCAGATCGTTGGAGCTCCATTTGGTGATCTCCTTGGCAAAGATCTCCTCGTTGTCAGAGAAGCCCTCTGAGGAACAAAGATTCAGACTTTAGTAAATAACAGATTGCCATGAGCACCTTCTAAAACCGAGAATCAAACCTGCATTACCGTGAGCGTCAAAGAACTCGTCGTCTGTGCTGTCCTCCGAATCTCTGGCGATGCTCTGCATGCGCCATTCAGAAATGCTGTGGCGTGAAGGACTTCCTGCACACGTACAGATTAAAGACAAATAATAAATCATGTTAGTTCTGTAATCCAAAGCTTAATATGAAATCCCCCCACCCCCCAAAAGACACTTAACAAATAAATAATATTGAAAAAAATTTTCACAAAATATAAAAAGCAACATATAACGCCTACCTAAAACGGCTCGTTCTAACACGCCCCCACATATCTACCTCACTATGTGGGAAGATTTGCATAAAGCCGCCCAAATATTCACACAAAGAAAGAAGGCGTAACTTTTATTCTCGCTGTAGTATTGTTGTTGCTGCCGCCATCTTGTGAAGGCACTGTGTGTTTCGTTGTGAAAGCGAAACTACTTTGTTTGGTCTTCCAAAAGAGGACGATATCTGCTTCGTCATGCCTAGAGCTGATCCGTGCTGGTCGCTGAGGAAATACGTCAACTTCGCGCTGTCGATCGCCGGATCGGCTTTCACCGTGGACGAAGCGGAGTCCAGAAAATAATGTTATTTTTAGCAACATCATATGACCCCTTTAGAATTGAAACATAAATTAATACGCTTAATGCATGGAAAAATTGTCCACATATGCATCATGATTCTTTCTCAAACTAATATGCATTGATGAAAAAGAAAAAAGAACATAATAATAAGGACTAAAAATAATTGTATCAATATTAATAAAAATCACCATTTATCATTAATGAATTAATTGTAATAATAACATATATATACACACATATATAAAACACAGATATGTATAATAATATACATATACACTTTTCAATTAATTTAAATACATAATTCATACATTTATATATATTATACATAATATAAAATTGTTTATATATATATATATATATATATAAAAAAATCAGTGTTATACTATTATATTAATAAATTGTTAATACTAAAATAAACTATTTAAAAAATTATTTCATAATATTATGAAATATTGCAATTTAAAAATAATTTAATATTTTAAAATATAATTTAATGATGCAAAGCTGAATTTTCAGACTATCAATATTTAAAGTAGTTGCACTGATTAATATTTTTGTGAGAAACTGAAAACACAGCTTTTCAAGATTCTTTGCTGAAAGTTCAGAAAGTTCAAAAGAGCAGCATTTATTTGAAATAAATATATTATGTAACATGATAGAGTCTTTACTGTCACTTTTGATCAATTTAATGAATCTCTCTCTCTCTCTATATATATATACATACATACATACATACAACCATATATATGTCTATATATATATATATATATACAGTATATATATATATATATATATGTGTGTATGTGTGTGTGTATGTGTATCTACTCATCACCATGCATTTTCTAAGTATGGCGATGTGAACTTACCCCCTCTCTTAGAGGAATGTGAGGACCTAGAAGAGGTGGACCACTGCTTGGTCAGCTCTCCTCGCGCCTGCAGCGTGTCCCCCATGTTCCTCGTCGTCCCCTCAGCTTCGATGGCCTCCTTGGCTTCGTGCTCTTTATCGGGGCTGGTGACGGCGCCGTTGTTCTCACCGCCCTCCTCGTTGCAGCTATACTGCGCCATCTTCTGTGCCAGAGCCAGCTGCGTCTCCAGCTCCAGCTGCCGGATGTTCTCCATGGTCAGACCGTACCACTCGTCCTGCCAACACCAGGCCTGCCGATGAGCGCGCACCATCACCTTCCTCAGCCCTGATGGGAAGATGTTGTGAGATTAATGCTCACCATAACACAGGCAAGTGTAACTGTTTACGTTTAAACTAGTTTAGGGGGGAAAAACTAATGATTGCAGTAGATTTTTACATCTTCTGAACAAAATGCGAGTAGTGTTTGCCCATGAAAAAGTCAGCAGCCCAATGTTCTGAATGGTTTTTAATGCATTCATATGTGGTTGCCAACTTGTTCTGGATGGTTGCTAGGTCTACGAGTTGAGTACAGCACTTACATGCTAGGAAAAAAAGAGCCTCAGACAACAGATGGTGATAAAATGTAACACGTTACTTTCCATGAGAAGTAACAAAGTAACATAATTAGTAACATTTATGAGTAATGTTAATTTTTAAAGAAACATTTCTCAATACTGCTATCAACCAAGGAGACTTTGTGTGCTAGAAAGCTAAGAAAATGCAATTATTATTAAATGCTATTATAGTTTTTGTTAATATTTTGAATTACATTTTTATTGTTATATTTTCTGTTTTCATTTTTTTTTCATTGCTTCATTTTTAGCATTTTTTGTCAATTTTATATATTTTTTTATTGTTTATTGTTATATTTTTAATATTGTTTTTTTTTCCCCCAATACATTTTAGTTATTTTAGTGCTAACGAAAATGAGAAATGTTCAATGCCTAGCTGAAATAAAATCTTTTTTTATTTAATCTTATTATTTCACGTAATGAAAATGTTTTTTTTATGGTTTTAGTTTTAGTTAACTATAATAACCCTGCTTCACTGACGAGTCTGTATGTAAGTTCGCTTGACATTTGGGGTCAATGTGTGGTTTGGCTTATTTCCTTGTGCGATTTCCTTGTCTGATTAAGATGTGTCAAAGACGCACTTAACCAGTCTTTCAGATAACTGAACTTGGTAATGAAGAGACGTGCAAACAAAATTGTTTTCACAGCGGCCAGGAAACAGCGAGAGGAAAAGTGGATAAAAATAAAAGGAAATCAGCCAAAGGGAAAGAGTTTCATAAATGGGAAACGGCAACAGTCAGCTTGCAAATTATCAGAAAATGGAGCCAATAAACAAGCCGATATCGAAGTAATGAAAAAGATTAAGCAGAGAGCGAACGGCACATTGAAAGGAAATTAATTTTGCCCTGATGTAGTCAGGAGGAGGCAGTTCTCTGAGCGTTGATTTTCACTGGAGCCGCACTGCATCAATCTTGTTTTCATTAAGTGCAGGTTAATGATTAAGGGCTTTTTTCCTGACAGAACGCTTGACACCTGCTGCCCACCCACGCACAATGATAACAGGACGTTACCAAGCATCATTTCGCGCACATACGCAGCAGATGGATCAGCTGACTCATATAGAATTATTGGAGAGACAAACGTCCTCTCAGAGCTAATAACACTGGTGGACATATGGTAGAGGACACCACTGATAATAGCACCGGTACTAAGTTAATAATAAATTCACTCGATTATCAAAAATATGCATTGTTATATAATATAAAAAAATGTTTCGTCTGAACATTTCCGAACACTTACCCACATCGTGAATGAAGCGCTCAATCTTGGACTGCATGCCCCAGTATCGAAACTCCACTTTACACAACTTGTAAGCGCACATGACGGGCATTTTGCCTGGGTTGTTGTTGATTTCCGTGATCCAGTCGTCACACAGGGGGCCCCGCTGGGTTTTATATGACTTGTAGAGTTTCGGGTCTTCCTCAGCCAGGTATTCATGAGGGGCGATGAAATCATTCACAATATCGATGGGATCTGTAAAAGAACACTGGTTTCATTAGCGATCTCATATTTTTGGGAGAACAAGGCACGAATGGTGAACAGGTTCATATTTAGTCTTTTATTGCAAACCAAATCAGTTCATCAGAGATTTTATAGAACCTTCTGAAAGGTAATAACATGGACATTAAGGCTGTAAAACCTGGTTTATCTGTTTGTCTTATGTGTCATAAAGTTTTTTCTTTTATTCATGCAGCTTTGGCACAAGGAATCGAGTTGTTCCATTACAAAAAAGATTATACTTTTTTCATGTCCATAAATGGAACTTTGTTTAGAAAAACTGACATGAAAATAGCATTGTTTGTATTTAGTGTGTGTAGATTTTTTTTTACTCTTCTTTGTTTGCTAACTTGCTTTTTGTGAAAGAACAACTCTTAAAGGAATAGTTCACCCAAAAATAAAATTTTGCTGAAAATCTTCTGAAAACTCACTCTCAGGCCATCCAAGATGTAGATGAGTTTGTTTCTTCACCAGCGGATCCTCTGCAGTGAATGGGTGCCGTCAGAATGAGAGTCCAAACAACTGATAAAAACATCACAATAATCCACACCACTCCGGTCCATCAGTTAATGTCTTGTGAAGTGAAAAGCTGCACGTTTGTAAGAAACAAATCCATCACTTAAGACTTTTAACTTTAAACCATCGCTTCTGGCCAAAATACCAGTCCATAGTTCATAATAATGCTTCCTCCAGTGAAAAAAGTATTTTGTTCTCTCACATCAAAATCCTGTTTAGAAATGTTTTGGACTGTTTTCGCTTGTAAACGGTGCTTGATCTGTGCAAATCACTCTCCTGATTCAACTTTAGACTACTTTTTCACTGGAGAAAGCAATATTATAGACAGAAATTAAAAACCCCTTGATGGATTTGTTCATTACAAATCGCTTCACAAGATGATTATTTGTGGATTATTGTGATGTTTTTATCAGCTGTTTAGACTCACCCATTCACTGAAGTGGATCCACTGGTGAGCAAATGATGTAATGCTCAATTTCTCCAAACCTGTTGAAGAAAAATTCATTCACAGCTTGGATGACCTGAGGGTGAGAACATTTTCAGCAATTTTTCATTATTGGATGAACTATCCATTTAATTCAGAGCTGTCAACTTTACTGTGTTAAAAACCTAACTTTGTAGGTCTTCAATTATTCACAGTTGCGAAGTACAGACTGTTTGCTGATCTTGGGTTGTTTCATGTTTGCAGACGGCCGTGTCATCAGATGGCCTCTAGGTGTCTCCACAGCACAATAATGAAGGTACATGTTTTCAGTCAGTAATGGAGTTATGCAACAGCATTCACTGGGCGCTTCCCCCTGCAGTGCCTGCGTCTGTTTGCGTTCAGCTCAGAAAGCCTCCAGTACCTGTCCCAGAGTGCAATGCTCGTGCCGTGGCACGTTACTCAACAGCAGCATGGTACTATGTCAATGAAGCGGCATGCTGTCTGCATCTTAAACATTGAGGCATGACTCGAGAGCTCTTCCTGCTGGATTGCTTGAGATTGGTTTCACAAGCAAGCAGGGCTCACATGTTAAAAAGCATGCTAATGACGGGACCTCATGGAAATGCAATTGTTCTAGATGCTCAGTTGTGCTTTTCCATTTCAAAAACTGTCTAAAGCATCAAATATATGCGTCAAGCAGAGTAAAAATAAAGAAGGTGCAACAGTACCTATATCCCGTTGCCTCTTTTCGGCCAAGGACATGTTGAAGACGTCATTCTGGCAACCCGTGTCCGGCTTGTAGTACGTCTCGATATCGATGGAAAACTTTTCGACAAAAGGACACGTGTAGCTGCAGGACAGGCGAGGAGAGATTAACTCTGATGTAATTTCATCATATCAGTGTCATGCATTAATGCAACCGCTCAGCAATGAGGTTCATGCGAGTTTATCCCTTTTTCACACTGGTGTTGTCTATACCTACAGAGTAATCTTTATAGTTACCTACACAAAGTGTATATGAGATCAATAAAACATGTTGTCAAATTATATTTGTAAGGATCGTTATTGCCGCTTCCATAGACATCAGTGTGTATTTTACAAACCTATGTGCATTTAAATGTCTGAAACCTTCAATAAGCATTATATGGTTGAAAACACTGAATAGTTGTGATAATATGACAAGAGCTAAGCGTGTTTGTCTCTGGCTCAGTACCAGCCAAAGCGCGTAAGCAGATTTGAATTTAGCAGTTGATCACATGACGCACTGAACGTTCTAATCACACCAGTGTGATCGTATGCGTCAACGGGTTAATGAACAGATATATGTTTATTGCAGTGGGAGTTGAGCTGAACTCAACACGCTTTGATGCAACATTCCCTATAAAACCAAAAAGATGCATTGAGAAAGTAAACACGGGTCTATTTTAATTCCATGTTGACTTCAAGATCAAAACAGCAAGGCATGACTTGAATGTTAAAAGCTGTTGTGAGTATTTACCGGAGCACTCTTGAAAGAGAGCCAGAGGGTTTTATTATTAGGAGATAGTGCACTTACCGTGTGCGGGTGTATGGGTAGGCGTTCCAGGATTCCTCTTCCACACGAAGAGCGGCTTTTGGCAAGATGGAGCGAAACCAGCTAGGGATGTGTTGGCCGATGTGGTAAACCTTGTGGGTGTATTGACCAGAGCCGCCTGGGCCATCCGTGTAGGGTCGGTTCTCCAGGATCTCCACCCCGCTGCCCTCGCCTTCGCTCTCTTCACGACTCTTTTTCTGCAGGGAGGGAAAGGTCAGGAATTAGGGTTCACAGACTTCCAAAAGGACTGGAATTATTATGAAGTCAAGTCACAATTATTTATAAATCTTTTTATACAATACACATGGTTTCAAAGCAGCTTCACATTAGTACAGAGGAAAATAACAGTGTTAATGCTGTAGAATTCATCAATTATGAAACCATTTCAATTTCAGCTATAAAGCAGCTCTGCAAAAGATAATAACAGTGTTGATGTTGCAAAGTTAGTGTTGTTATCCAGCTCGATTCAGTTCATATTTGTTGCTCAGAATTGTTGTTTCTATTCAGATCAATAACTGCGTAAAGTTAATCAATTATGAAACTAATTAAATTCAGCTATAAGCAGCTAAAATCTTATCAATTCGGAAACAAATTCAATTCATCTATAAACTGCTCTACAGAAGGCAAGTGTTGTCATTCAGCTCAAGTCAGTTCAATGTTGATTCGATTCAGCTGAATGAGTGTCAATGTTGCAAAGTTAGTGTCATTATCAAATTTGTTTCAATTCTGTTCAATAATTGTGTCAATGTTGCAAAATTCATCAATTATGAAACTAATTAAATTCAGCCATAAGTAGCTCTACAGAAGACAATAGTGTTGTTATTCAGCTCAATTCTAATTCAGTTCAGTTGAATGAGTGTCAATGCTGCAAAACCTATCAATTATGAAACAAATTAAATTAATCTATTAACAGCTCTACAGAAGGCAAAAGTGGCATTATTCAGTTTAAGTCAGTTCAATGTTGATTCATTTCAGCTGAATAACAGTGTCAGTGTTGCAAAGTTAGTGTCATTATCCAGTTCAATTTAATTCAACATTGCAAAGGTAATTAATTATGAAACAAGTTCAAATCGGCAATATAAAAAGCTCTACAGAAGAGAAGTGTCGTTATTCAACTCAATTCAGTTCAAATTTGTTGTTTCAATTCAGTTCAATAACTGGGTCAGTGTTGCAAAATCTATCAATTCGGAAACAAATTCAATTTATCTATAAACTGCCCTACAGAAGGCAAAAGTGTCATTATTCAGCTCAAGTAAGTTCAATGTTGATTCGATTCAGTTGAATGAGTGTCAATGTTGAAAAGTTAGTTTCGTCGTCCATTTTAGATTCAAATTTGTTATTTCAATTCAGTTCAATAACTGTATCAGTGCTGCAAAGTTCATCAATTCTGAAACTAGTTCAAATGAGCTATAAACGGCTCAACAGAAGACAATAGTGTCATTATTCAGCTCAATTCCATTTAAATTTGCTGTTTCAATTCAATTCAATAACAGTGTCAATGCTGCAAAATCTATAAACTATTAAACAAATTCAATTCAGCTATAAACAGTTCTACAAAAGGCAACAGTGTCATTATTCCATTCAAGTCAATTCAATGTTGTTTCAATTCAGTTCAATAATTGTCAATGTTGCAAAGTTAATCAATTATGAAATAAGCTAAATTCAGCTATAAACAGCACTACAGAAGACAATAGTGTTATTATTCAGATGAATTCAGTTAAAATTTGATTCAATTCAGTTCAATAGCTGTGTCAATGTTGCAAAGTTCATCAATTCTGAAACACAATTAAATTCAGCTATAAACAGCTCTGCAGAAGACAACTGTCATTATTCCATTCAATGCTGATTTGATTCAGTTGAATAGCAGTGTCAATGTTACAAAGTAACTATCATTATCCAGCTCAATCCAGTTCAAGCTCTGTTCTCATCCAATAGTGTCAGTGCAGTTAAATCCATAATATTACGCTGGGAGCTTAAAACCTCCTTAGGAAACTCAATGTTAATGGAAGGTGACAGTTTATCCCAAAAGAGAATTGACTCCAACCCAAGAGAAGTCAACTACATGCTCAGCGCTACTGGTGCTGGCCAATCAAAAAAAGCCACACCTTCAGCTTTGTCGGTAAGATAAGCCAAGACTCAGTGTGACTGCCAGCAGGCAGAACCGTAAAAAATAGGGTACAATCTTGGCACGGCTCCTGAGCTGTGAATTCTGGGAGAAGGCCCACTGTGCCAGTCAGGGTGGCACATGCCATCGTATCTGCCTTGCTTAAGAAGGTCACACAAAGATAGTTGGAAGCATCCGGTGGCTAATTGCACACCAACTTACTTATGAAGCCATCAGGGACACGTTTGGCCCACTTAGGTCCACTATGGGATTGCCTAAACGGGGAAGCAGGGTGCCTACCCTTAAATTTGTGTCCCAGGCCGTGAATGCGAACGTAGGATTCAGAACACAGTGTCAAACATCAACATTAATTCTGTACAGGATTTTTTACATTTCTATTTTCAACTAACTGACATTGATGTAGGTGTAATTATGTAACTGTTATGCGTCCTCTATGCTTAAATAAAAGACGGATGATGACAGGCCAGTGAAGCTGGCACACTGACAGGGCAAATGGCCACACAGATCCCATCAGCCGTGACTCTGTATTAGCAAGATGATAGTGGGGTGATTAAAAGCTGACAACGCTTGCCTAATACCTTCATTAAGGTGAGGTTTGTTTCAGAGACGGAGAAGAAAGTTATAGCGTTTTCATTTCATCTGAGTGCTCTCATGAGACAACCGCATGGCCACTGAATTCCAGCAATTTCTAAAGATGGAAAACATTGAAATGATATTACTGCTGAAGCTGCTAGTATTTCTTTATAACCTAACTGGCAGATCTTCACTGGTGTAATATATATTTTTTTCAATAATATTTTTTATAATAATGTATATGTATATTTTTTATTTATATTAAAATTATAAATTTCTTTTATCAGTTTATTTAGGATTTTTGTTGAACGATAGATAGAACAAATGAACAAACGATAGATAAACAGATATACAACGATAGATAGATAGATGCATTACCTGTGTTACAAAATGTCTTTTCATTACAATTTAGTGACAATTCCTCTTCCTTTCATTTCAATTCCTATTCAACTTCCTGTGTAATGTGGCAAATTCAATTCAAATTAAGCCAATTCTTCAATTCTGAATTTTGCACATGTGTGACTGGCAGGGGACATGAGGTGGCTTTTATAATTTGTGCCAAATGGTCTCGCCCCCGAGACGCCTCAGAAACGATCACTCTTGGCCTCTCAGATTCAGGGGTTTCTAATGCGTCTTCAATCACCGGATACGTGGTGAGTAATACATTTCCATTTTAAAAGCACAGGCCTTCGCCAGCAAGGGAATAGCAGTTGTGCCTCTCTCAATGTCAGACCGCTGCTTCTCTCTCTCTCTCTCTCTCTCTGCAACGCTACCGTCAAACTCGCAGAATGCACTTTCAGGACTGATGTCAGACCAACACATTCCACAGAAATGCGTGTGAAGCAGGAGCCCGTTGGAGGCGATCTGTGGGTCTGGAGCTCACATGTGCTGAGCAGGAAGAAACGGGCCGATCACGTCCTCTTGTTAGAGAGGTGAGCTGTCAGCAGCTGGAGGTGGCAGGTGGGACAGACAGACGAATGGCAGGCAGGAGAGGGAACAGGCGACAGAAGCGCTGGGCTGCGGTATCTGTTTTTGCTCATCCTCCCAGCGTTGAGTCGCCAGCCCTTCATTATGGCGCTGACAGATGACATCAGGCCCCGCACCCGCTACAATCAATCCCTCGCACACACACCTTAGAGAAGAGTCTCGATACCCTAAGGCTGTGCAGTAGAATCATAATGTGATGTTTCTCTACAATTTCGCGTTGTTACTTTAGAGCGGCTCTTTTCAACAGGTTTTGCTTCAGGACCCACGTTTTTACATTAAATATTAAATGGCAACCCATTTAACATCAAAACTGTAAAAGTTTGAAAAAATCAAGCATGACATTTATTAATAGGACTGCACGATCTAGTGGGAAAATATAACTGCAATATTTTTTGATAAAAATTACGATTACGATTTTACGAAAAAGAATTCCAGGTTTGCTGTGCTTGTTTAGGGCTGCACAATTCGGCCAGGATTTCATGATTATATATCAATATAGTTATTATTATTATTACTAAAAAATATATAAAAATTACTAAATAAAAACAAAAAGAAATTTTACGATTGTAATTTTACTGTAAAATAAGTGTTTAAGAAAAATAAGAAAAATAATTTTATTTTACTTTTCAACAGTAAAATTACAATACTAATATTAAATCTGTCTTAAAGGGATAGTTCATCCAAAAATGAAAATTCTGTCATCATTAACAGTTGCTGGTCCCAACTGACTTCCACAATATGGAAAAAAATACTATGGAAGTCAATGAGGACCAGAAACTGTTTGGTAACCAACATTCTTCAAAATATCTTCTTTTATGTTCAACAGAGAGAGAAAAAAAATCATACAGGTTTGGAACAACTTGAGGGTGAGTAAATAATGTCAATTGTCATTTCTGGGTGAACTATCCCTTTAATTTCTTAATTGCACTAAACCATCAAACATTTATTTTGACAGAAAACTGCAGAGTCCTTAAAGCTTCCCTTTTGTTGATAAGGGTTTCTCATTATGAGAAGATGGTTGCCGCATGTTGCACTTACAAAAGCAAGATAAATTGACCCAAACCCAGAACATGGAGCAGAGATGAGTTTGATAATTGCACTAAGCTATATTGCAATTTTGTTGTTCTTGCTTAATCGTGCAGCCCTATTTATTGTTATCATGAACTGCCCAGGTTGAAAAAGCACAGTTGCATTTAGCATTGTTTTTTCCTCTAACCACAACCTTATCAGGACAGACAGTGACCTGTTTTTGGGCCACAACTCACCAGCTGAAGAACCAGTTTTTCAGTGCAATGTGTTTAAATAAACCACCTCACTTTGCACAGTCTACTGTGTGAGATGCTGAACTCGCAAAAGTGAAGCAAACAGCATAAGAGAGAATGATCTCGCTTGTGAAATTCAATTTAGTTATTGTGATGCATGTATTCAATCATCATTTGAGGAATTGGTGATGTCTGTGAAGGATGAGTAACGCATCTAAATTTAATACTTCTATTATTGACTTAGTATTTG